ACTTGTCTGTTTGCACCGCCAATTGTATATTTTTACTTGTTATTATTATCGTCTGTGCATACCAACAATTAGATGTAGCAACTTATGATTGTGAACTTTTCGTGTGTTTTCAGCACCGGAGAGTGAGTAGTCATGGTGTTGGCGGCGTTTGTTGAGCATTTGTTGTTGGAGTTACCATTGTTACCGGGTTGTGAGTACGAGATTGTGGAATGTTGTACAATAGCGCATGAGATTTTGTACACGATTGTAACTCCAATGCCAAACTTTAATGCATCCGTATTGTATAAACACTTGTAAGTTTGTGTAATGGAAATGTGTTTGTGGTAACATATATATTGTATGTTGGCATACTTATTGTGTTTGTGTGCACTGACATTAATCCGTGCATTATTGTTATTATTGTTTGTGTACGTCCACCAACACTAATATGTGTTGTTATTACTGTCTGTGTGCACCGACATACAGTAGGGTTGGGAAGACCTGATTGAAACCCGAAAACTGACACTGACCTTACCTGAACAATCAATATAATGTACAAAAAATAGTAACTTTAATCACATTTTTAAATAGTTCTTAATATATTACGGAGTATCATATTTATGGTAGATGAAAAAATAACTTGGTAACTTTTAGTGGTTACAAATAAATTAAATTTTTTATAACGTAATAATCATGAAAATATATTTATAGTAACTTTAGACACATTTTTATTCCCAAATAAAACCTATATTTTATATTTTTATATGCATCTTAAAAAAAATATTAAGATAATTATTTTATGACTAATATTTGTGTTATTATTTGCGCTCTGTATTTTTGATTAATTTTATTTGAAAATAGATTTTAAAACATAAAAGAAAAAATGATATGATTTCACATTCGAGCTTTAATTGGCTCAACCCGAACTCGGACCGAATATAATGAGCTTTGTTCTGGTCCCTAATTACCATACGGGTAACTTTCGGGTTTAACAAAAAACTGACCTAGACTGATCTCACTCCTAAGTTAAAATAATATGTGTGTTTTATTGTTCTTATTATTGTCTGTGTACACTGATAGTAATTCATGTGTTGTTATAATTATTGTTTGTGTGCACCGACAACAATACTTGTATTTTGATGTTCTTATTATTGTTTGTGTGCACCAACAGTAATAAGTGTGTTGTTATTATTGCCTATGTGCACCGACAGGAATGTATGTTTATTTAAAGTACTTGACTATGTAGTTATAATAAGTTTGACACCTACAACAATACCAAAACGCATAAAGAGTGAACCTTTACAAACTTGTGAACAATACCAAAACTCAATGTCATGTTAAAATCTAAATCAAGAATTTGTACATTTGTGCTTGGGACTTGCGATCCAAGTTCACCAGTAGTAATAAAAGTTGCGTGTTTGAGTCACACAAGTGTAAAAATTACAAACTCAAATCATATTGCCACACAAATACTTACAAACCATATTACTACAACTCAAAACATATTACCACACACACTTACAAAGAAAGTAATGTCTGTGTACACCTACAAAAAGACTATTACTATGTTCACACCGACACTAGTTGTCAGTACAACCACTCAGGAAGCTTTCATTCGTCTGTGCACACCGACATGTGCACACCGACATATGTACATTTTTTGTAGAAATCATAAACTGCATCTTTTGTAGAAAACTCCATGCCTATCTTTGGAATTTGTTCACATTCATCACCATTGTTATCTCCATCTGTTTACATAATCAAATAATTATTTTACATTAACTCATTCATAGTTGACATTCAAATGATTAAATTAACCATACATTGACACAATACAAATTAACCATATTTGACACAATACATCACCATTAAATTACTTTTTGGAAGGAAGACAATTCTATCTCTTTAGAAATCGTTGTGCTCTTCACTTGATGATGACCTATGCTCATGAGAGCGTGAAACCATCAATTTTAAGTTCCTGATTCAAACGTGTATAAAAAATTTAAGCCACATGAATCTTGATTGAGTAAAATCAACTTAGATAATCTTATAAACAGTATTCAATAGAAAGCTAACATATGTAACCCATGAGAAGTCTGTAATGTACCTGAAATGAAAATAGAAAATCTAAAGAAAAAACTAAAATCAATTCAAAAGTAGTGCCGAGAGTGAGAAACAAGAGAGAAAATGAGGAGGTGGCTGAGATAGTGCTACTGAGGATTATAAAACTATCTAATTTAAGAAGTATATTATAAAACTCCATCTCTAAGTGATGATTTCTAATGGTTATGCATTGCTAAGATCAAAGAGTATCTTCTTTAAACAGGACTCTTTCTATTAGGCCAAATGGAGTCAATAAAAACACATATTGGTTAGTTTTAATGTACTAAAAATTACTATGACAACAATTATGGTTAGAATGAGTCTCCTAAAAAAATATCAGACCTTGCGGCTAAGAAAAAGAAACAAAACTAAAGTTGGATGAAAATGAAAATAATGGGTTTTGAGAGTTGAGAACCTCTCTGTCTATCTCTGCCTGTTTAGAAAATTAGATAATTATGTTACACAAATAAGTTTTCAACACACATCTTTCATTCAGATTGACACTAGTTGTTAGTAAAATCACTCAGAAAACTTTCATTCGTATGTGCACACCGACACTAGTTGTCAGTAAAATCATTTAGAAAACTTTCATTCGTCTGTACACACCGACACTAGTTGTCGGTAAAATCACTCAGAAAACTTTCATTCGTATGTGCACACCGACACTAGTTGTCAGTAAAATCATTTAGAAAACTTTCATTCGTCTGTACACACCGACACTAGTTGTCGGTAAAATCACTCAGAAAACTTTCATTCGTCTATACACACCGACACTAGTTGGCGGTAAAATCACTTTGAAAACTTTCATTCGTCTGTGCACACCAACACTGTGTTGTTTACTTCCCCGGCCAAGCTTCGACTTTTGTTATAACTCACACAACAACCTCACAGACACTTCGCTACTCATACATAACAACTCGCAGACAACATTAAGCCAAACCATCTTACCACACAAACACTGCAATTTGAACACACACACAATCACTTATTTGTTCATTTTTTCAATTATATCTCTGTTTTCTGCCGTACCTCCGTTTTTTGCTGCAGCTCCTTCTCCGTTTCCGGCTGTAGCTCCTTCTCCACTCACAAGTGTGCTCTTAGTCGCACCTCTGTCATTGTTCGCATCTACATCGTTCAGACCACGGTTCCGGCCGCACCTCCATTTCCGGCTGCAGTTCCAGTTCTGTTCACTGGCGTGTCCTTCGTTGCAACTCCGCTTTGGTTCGCAGTAATATATCCTGCCGGCCCTCCATCTAAGATAAAAAAGAGAGAAAACCATCAATTGAATTAAAAAAGAAAAAAAGGGAGGAAGGTTGGGAGAATGAGAACTCTCGTAATAGAGAAGTCAAGGAGAGAAGAGGAGGCTGACTGTGAAGGCACATGGGTGAGGAGGAGTAGGTATTTATATGGTGTACCCCAGGGTGTAACCCAGGGTGTACACCAAGACTTTTTGTTAAAATCTTCATCAATTGGATCTTCAGACTTTTTTCATATGCAATATTGGTGTCGTATGAAATATCATAAAAAGTTGAGAGAATTCCCTAAATAGGAGTAAAAACGTTTTGAAATTCCAAAATAGGAGTATCATGTTTTTTATTCTCTAAATAGGAGTAAATTTCTGCTAAGTTTGGACATTACAAGACTTTAAACATGACATTTTCTTCCAAACATGGCAGATTACTCATATTCAGGGAATAAAAAACATGATACTCCTATTTTGGAATTTCAAAACGTTTTTACTCCTATTTAGGGCAATTTCTGTAAAAAGTTTCGAATTTTGATATTTTTTTAATAAAAATTAGAGTACTAATAAAAATGTTATAACACTTTAAAAATCAGATATTTTTCTCCCCTTTTCTCCGAATAAATTGGCCTAATTAATGTGAATAGCTATTCATGAAACGTGTGAATTTGCATTGAGAGAATTAATTAAATGTTTTATTAAGAGTGATAATCAGTTTTATACTAACCAATCACAACAGATTGACACTTCATTGATTTATAACTCAGTTTTACTATATAAAACAATAGATAGTGTGCTTACTTAAACTTGTTTCAGTTTCACATTAGATTATATCACACTTAAACAGATTGAATCAGATCTGATTAGATCGGATTTCAATAGTTTATATAAATAAACTAGATACTACCTTCCTCCCTTGAAACTTTGCCAAGTTTGACCGGCACGGAGATTAATAAAGTAAAAACTGTGTGGTTGAGGTTTGTGCAGAGGAGAGAGAATTAACTGGAACCACAAATTCTTTACTTAAAATAGACAGTGGCAAAGTTATTGGGACAACCAAAAAAGGAAAGTTGGCAAAGTTTTAAGGGACGGAGGGACTATTTCATACACAAATATAAGATGAATGTCAGATTTGACCAGACTTAAATATTACAAATCAAATCGGATAAAAATAAGAAAAAATTGATAGCAATAATCTCAATTATTGGCGGTCCGCTCATAATAATCCCAACTATCGATTATTTCAGAATAATCATAACTTTAGGGACCTTCCGTCAATAATGACCCTACGTGACTGGCTATAAATAAATTCCTATAATTTTTAAAGTGGATGAAAAGAGATATACCAAGTAATCACTATAAATAATCTCAACTTTTAATTTTTATTTTTTAATTTCTATTTAAAACTCACATGTTATAACAGATGATATCCGGTTATGGACTATTATTGGCGAAGTGTCCATATAATTGGGATTATACACAATTAATAAATAGTTGAGATTATTGTTAGGATTATTATTTTCAATTGTTCCTAAAAATATAATCAATATAAAAACGTCCTTAATCTGTTCATTTTTTATCACGTTCAATGTGGTAATAAATTTAGTTGACGTTGACGTTTAATTGACAAACAATTCTTGTGTTTAATCAAACACGGTAAATGAAGACTCAAGTCTGTTTAGGGGGTAAAAATGTTGTTTTAATCAAAGACATCACTTTTATCGCATCATCATCCGAAGCCCTAGAATTTACAGGAAATTCCAATCCATCGTTCTCGCCCGACCCAATCTAATCCACACCGTCCATCGACCGATCTCCCCAATCATCGCCGGCGACTCAACCGAAGTCTTCTCACACATATCTCCGGCGCGAAATCGTACGGTACCGCCGTCAATTATCTGTCGGCAACAATCGAACCTGGCTTTCTCTTGAATGGTAATCGAATCTCACCATACCTTTCAAACAATGTTTTCTGTGTGCAAGTAAATATATTTCTATGCACCATACACACAATCTGTCAATTTCTTTTTGCACGACCAAACTTTGTTATTTAAAAGTCTGGAATAAAATGGTGTGCAATGTACACCTATTTTGTTCTTTCAAAGGGGCGTTTTTTCAACTTGAATTTATGCGTTTTTTCATGTGTTATATCCATGTGAAGCTGAATACAGGTAACGGGTGTATAAAGTTGTGATCTTGGCTTGAGATGGAAGGGAGCGAAGAGGGGGTGATGCATCAGCATCCTCAAGTTCATTACCTGCAGGAGCATGATGATCACCATCACCATGGTTTTATGAACAATGTGGGTGTGATGGAGCATGATGGTGATGATGGTGGTGGTGGGAATGGAGGGAGCGAAGGAAGTGACTGTATGGAAGGTGATGTTGCTACTGCTGATCCCGGGAATCTGTCAGATAATCATCATAGTGCAATGGTAGTTCATGGTAGTGGTGAAACTAGTAATCAGCTGACCCTCTCGTTCCAGGGGCAGGTGTATGTGTTTGATTCTGTGTCGCCTGACAAGGTATTTTTGATTTTATGCTTCAAACTAATGCATTTTGTGTTACCATTTTTCTTTCATTCAGTTAGCCAATGTCTTGAATTGGACATTTGGACTGATACTGCATTATGTATCCTAAGTAGGTATGATTTTAAATGAATCCAAATGTTTATTGTTTGATTTGTGAAATGTTGACTTCCTGGTCACTTGCCTGTTTATCTGTAACCTGAGCAAGGATTTAGTTTGTTTCTTCCAAACATTGGAGCTACTATGTCGTATTATTAGTTGTAGCAGAATATGGTTTTAGATGTTCCTATGACATGTCTCCCACTTAGGTAGGCAGTTGATGTTAATAAACCCTGTCTTTGAGTGTATTTCTAAGTGGGTGCTTCGTTATCTGGAAAAGTAATTTGATTTTCTGGTAAACAAAATATATTTCGATGTTGGGCACTTTAGCTTTTATTTGTTCGTAAAACAGGCACAAAGCTTATATATCTGTATACGAAAGCTACGTCAAGAAATGAATCGATATATAATTTTCTTGTTTCAACTAATCAAGTTAGGGAGCATTGCCAAGTAGGAGAAAAACATGGGTCAATGGGTGCTTTCCCTAAATTTGACTAGTATGTTTTGTAAGAGTAAAGATTCAATGGATGTACGTAAATACACATACCTACATAATTTAACTTTTACGATACAAAAAATAGAAAAAAATCAACCACGGGGGACCTCTGCCATCCTGAAACACTACTTTCATCATGGATTCTCACAACCCTCTGCATTCTGAAACTATACTGACAGATAACTATTCTGGATTCCAACAACCGCTGTCCTAGCATTTTCATCCAAATATTGATCGGAGATTTACCATAGGTGAGCGGCAGTTGGGTATGGTGAAAGACTGATGCAGTTTGTTTTATATTAGAATAGTAAATATTATTTGAATTACATGAGTAAATGCTATTAACCAAATTCAGAGAGGGTAGTAACAAAATATGTAGTCCTATTTATCGAATAAAAACACCGCACTCCTATTCATGGGAAAAATCCTTTTTTTACTCTTGATGAGTTAATATTGTATTTTCACAATATCAACCAAACACAATAGTTAATCTCATGTTCTCACGCAGGAATAATTCTCTAACCAAAGGCTGTACTTAGGTGGTATTTTGGTGGAGTGTAAATTCAGAAGTAATATAATTACCAAAAATAATATTATGCTGATGGTGCATAATTGACTTACATGTTGCTTATGCTTCTGCATTTTTTAGAGCATTAATATCATCTGTTATCTATTTGTTTCACTTAAATTCTTTTAATTTTTTACTTTAGGTGCAAGCTGTGCTCTTATTGCTAGGTGGACGCGAGGTCCCTCCAACCACTCCTATGTCTGTACCAAATCACAATTATAGAGTAAGAAAGAACCCGAACTTGGAGCACCTTCCAAAATAATGCCCAAGTTAGCACTACTATCCCATCAAATATGGATATCTCAACTGATTGTTATTTTTTTACAGGGGGTACCTGCTGTTCCTCAGAAGCTTAACGTTCCACAAAGAATCGCATCATTAATTAGATTCAGAGAAAAGCGTAAAGACCGGAATTATGATAAGAAAATCCGTTACACTGTCAGAAAGGAGGTTGCTCTCAGGTAAGAACAGTACCCCCCTTTTCTCCAAGTTAGTTAGTCAATATAGGGCTGATTTTTTTGTCACACTTGAATAGATCCATGCTTCATCTTTTGATTTCATTTTTTAATTATAGTAAAGCTTTGTCTGTTGCATTAACCTGGTCCTTAACTTTGTAGAACACTATTAAATGTTCGCCTTGTCATTGCACCTTAATTTAAAAGACGTAGTTTGTGTTGACATTTATGTGGTGTTTGTAGGATGCAACGAAACAAAGGCCAGTTTACATCTTCAAAACCCAATCAAGATGAATCTGCAACTGCTTCAAACTGGGACTCGTCTCAGGGATGGGCTTCCAATGGGGGCGGATCTCAAATTCAAACTCAAGAGATTTTGTAAGCATTGAATTCAATATGTCTATAGTAGTGAAATTGTAGTTTCTTGAGCTGTTATTGTACTTTTTATAAATAGTCCATATGTTGGTGGTCTGCTTAGGTCAAATTGGGTTGATGAGAATATGTTGGTGGTCTACTTTTTATAAAGAAAATTCTGAAAAGCTCAGAATTTTCTTTAGTTTGGTTTGGAAAATTTTGGCACGATATGAGAATGTAACACATTGTACAAAACTTGGCTTTTTATCCTCATAAATAATAGGGAAAATAACTTTAAATGATACCAACTATCACACATAAACCAATAATATAACATATTTTGAAAATGATTTTTAATAATACAAACTATTTGATTATAAAACAAAAAAAATGTGGAGTCACTTTTCGATAAGAAATCCAGTCACTTAAAAGCATTAAAAACAAATAGCAAACTATCAAATAAGTGATATTTGGAAATATAGTCACTTATTTTGATATTTTGGTACTACTTTATGATGAATTAAATAACTGAATTTTCAGTGAAAAATTGTTGTCTATCATTTTTTTTCTATATTTAGATAGTTGTCATTATTAAAAGTTATTTCCAAAGTACGTATTATTCTTGGTCATGGAAGATAGTTTGTATTATTTGAAGTTATTTTCTCTAAATTATAAGATAAGTTTCAAAGCTTTATAAAACTGATATTCCAAATTATGGAAGTTGGTGCTAAAAAGGGTAGCTGGGTGCACGAAGGCGCCCCCGCAAGGCAAGGGTCCGGGGAAGGGTCCCACCACAAGAGTGTATAATGAGCAAGCCTTCCTCTGTCAAATATGAACCCGTGACCCCTCGGCCACAAAGCTAACACCTTAACCGATGCGCCAAGGCTCCCCTTCGATTTGGAAGCTAGTGTTAATTTATTAAAAACATAGAGCTTTAAATGAACCATTTATCGATCCCATATTACTACACGAGAAGCTTATGGTAATTGCATTGCTTGATTGCCTAGGTTTCAGAGCCAGAAAAAGTGTCTTTAAATAAGAATAGAACTGGAGAATAATATTTCTTTTTGTATGCTCTCATGGCAGCTGCCGGCACTGTGGTATTAGTGAGAAATCAACGCCAATGATGCGACGTGGACCAGAAGGTCCAAGGACCCTTTGCAATGCATGTGGGCTAATGTGGGCAAATAAGGTGATCACCTACTGTTCGATGCCATCTCATGTGGGCTAATGTCTCTCTGTGCATACAATCTAACACACTTTTTAGGCACCATAATTAGGTGACTGGTTTGGGATTGGTGTAAATGTCTTATTTTTGGGATAATATTTGATGACTTCAGTCATTTTATTTTCCATAGCCCTAGTTGCACACTTGTTTATCCCAATATTTTCTTTTGAATTCCATTTTTTCTTATATTTGACTTTCATTGCTGAGCGTCCAATCGTAGGATACTAATGTCGAATTTTGTTAGACTTTTGAAATCATGTTTTACCTAAGTACATAACTTTTCTATACTCTGGGATGTAAGTCATCAATTGGGGCAATATGGATGAAAATTCTAGATTTTCCTGATTCTTCTTGCATTAGATGGTTAAAAGGGAAGGAAGATGAAAAGTTATATAGAAATACATCATTTAACTAATATATACTCTTTTGTAGCTATTTGCTAATTGAAGAGTAAATATATGCACAAGTTGGATAACAAAAACCGAACCTCAGAAATTCCCTAACCAATCAAGCCTTTACAAGGTCATTATTGTTATAGATAGACTGGGTTACTATTGATTTTTATTTAGTGATATTAGTGATTAGTTGTTTGCTCAGCACATGTACTGCAACAATGTTACCGAAAAATCTGTTCAGCTAGGTTTGCTTTATATTTGCTACTGAGCTGAATGTTAAACCATTAGATCAAGTTTCCAGTGATATCACATCCATCACAGGCACCTTGATCTAAAGGTGAAGAGTACCTAGTTGGGCAATCAAATCCCCTCTCAATGCTGACATCTTATATCACTCATCTGTCTGATTGTGTTGACTTGTAGGGAACTCTGAGAGATTTGTCAAAAACGCCACCGCCGCCACCACCCCCAGGACAAAGTTCATCCCTTCAGCAAAGCGAAGAGGTAGAGTCTTTCTGTCTTTCTTTCTTTTCACCCAAGAGTTACTCGGTATTCCGTAACCATTTCATGCTCGTTTTTTTTAAGTTGTGGCAGAATGGAAATGTGCAGGGTGCTCAAATTATTATTAAAAGTGGAGAAGATGGAGACGAGTCACTGTGATTTTTTTACACTATTTGTTTAAACTACAATGACTGTATGATAGAAGCCTGTAGTTTAATCTTTGAACGCCTTGCTCTTACTCCATACTATCCTGTCCCATCATTTCATTTACTAGCTTTTGTGGTTTCTTCTGTGTATCATAGACAATGTAAAACAGATCACTCACTTCATAGAAATTCAAGTTAATTATCTTTGTATTTTGAAATATCATTACGAATTTGGATCTGACCCAGTTCTTGATTGGGAATTTGGGATTAGCTGTTTTTTTTTTGCAATGAAACTGAACAAGCGATGATTGGTTCTACAGTTGGGCATAGGCTTGGCCTTATGATGCTTGGTTTGGGACCTTGGGTTCCACTAAAAGTCTAAAATGGGATCAAACTAGTTGATTTCAGCCCCCCTGCCCCCCATCATGCCCCTCTATTTTTATATTAAGAGGCCGTTTGACAACACTGTTTTTTGGCTTATCAGGCTTATCAGCCAACTTTTTCACAAAACACGTAACTTTTGCTTTCGCGTGTTGAATTGTGTAATAAGCAAAAAAATTTAAGGTTGGAGTTACTTTTCTGGCTGTATTGGCTGAAGTTACTGTAGATGATCATTTTAGCTATTTTTACAATTAATTTTATCATTATTTTATTAATAGAATACATTTTAAAATAAAAAAAACTTTTTTAAATCACCACAATCAGCCAATGCAGTCACTTCAGCAAGAACTTCATGAATTTTAGCAGAATCAGCTAAATCAGCTGATTTTCGTGCTGCCAAACAGGTTCTAAAACAATGATCCGAATTGTGGATGAGTCTTGGTCCGATATTGTAGAGCAGCACTATGGCAATCCTGTCAAGAATGAGTAGAGCAGCACTATGGCAATCCTGACAAGAGTGATAGAGCATCTCCAATACAAAAACGGCAACAGTGCCTACATGAGAGTTAGACATATAAAAGTTATTGAGTAGAATATTTTTCCTCATTTAGACAGTCTTATATGTATTTGGTAAGTTTTTCTCCACATTGTCAAGTATAATGTATAGGTATAGACATCATGACTAAAATTGTCATGAAAAAGTTAATGCATAAGATCTTGGAAAGCAAGATACATAAATAAGAAAATTATCTTTATATATTTATTTTTCTCGTACCACATATCCGCTGTGCAATTGATACATGGAGATGCTTCCATATTTGGTGTAGGCGTGTAGCCGTGTAGTGTAGTATCATGGTTGGTAAGTTCGGCATTGTTGAGTGCTAAAGTAAAAGGCATTTTAGACAAAATATGGGGATTCATTTAGTTCATTTAGTCATATGAACATGTAAAACGCTTAATCGTAAATTCGTAATGAGAAACTTAAGAAGAAATCTTCCACCTACAAAATACATTTGAATATGATGGATTTGGTTTAATTTTCTAATTTTATTCCTTCAACTTGAAATATGGGTTAGTGTAAAAACGAGCCGGAAATGAGATGTAGAACCTTATTGTTGTTTTCTTTTTTACTCCGGGGGTCTGGGAGAGGGGGGCCTGAAATAATCAGAGCTGAAACTCACTCCATTGAATTTCAAACCCTTTTGTGCCAAGCGGGTTTTGAACTTGAGACCTCTCATTGAGTACGGTAACTTCACAATGAACTGGACTGGAATGCTTGGTTATAGAACCTTATTAGCAATTGATCTGGAACCATACTGAATATTACTAATTCTGGTTGAAGAGCCCTTAGGATAAGAACTGGGTGGTGTGAACCCCCGAGTGTCGGGTTGGGTGACAAGGCTAACAACTAATTTTACATTTTTCTACCAAAAAAAACTAATTCTTACATTTCTACCTATCCTTTGGCGCATTACTATATTGAGAGTAGTCTTCTTGTCCAGCCGGCCTGACGGGAACCGCCGTCCGGCCGAGGGCATTTCGGGCACTTCCCGATTGAATTTTTTGATGAAATTTTTTGAGCATATTCTTCATGAAGTCTAGTTTATTCATACCAAATTTCAACTCAAAATTCGATCGGAAAGGCATTCAAATATATTTGTGAAGTTAACTGGGCAGTTTATATGTATGAACTGCCCAATTAACTTCAAGAAATTATTTGAGTGACTTCCCGATTGAATTTTTAGCTGAAATTTGGTATGGATAAACTAGACTTTATGAGGAACATGTTCAAAAAAATTCATCAAAATACTCCACCGGGAAGTGCCCGAAATGCCCTCGGCCGGACGGCGGTTTCCTTCAGACCGGCTGGACATGAAAAGTCCTCACTATATTGAATTGAGTGAATAAACAATATTAATATATTATGAATCAAAATCATCTCTTCAGTTCTCAAGAAGAGTCATGATCAAGACTTCAAGTAATCTTCTTTCGCAGTCACCTCACTCGATACTTGCTTTTGACATAAGCAAATTGTCGTTTGAATCCCTAAAAATGGAAAATAGCTTTCAATAATTTAAGACATTATCCATCAATTAATAATTGTACATGCTTTTAAAAAATTGTCATACTCCAACTATTTAAAATTGTCATACGCCAGTCGGATCGCTTAACTCATATAAGCTTGCATAAACCATCAAATCAGTTGGTAGTTTGATATAATTTTTTTAATGGATGACTAGATATATAGTCAAATATTAACTCAACCAACATGTTGAGAATTAAGGTTTTGTTTTATTCATTTATAAATATATACTCCATATACTTCGTATATAGTTAGTAAGTTACTACTATCCTATATCATGGTCAACTGGTAATATGACCCTACAATGTTTTACCTAAGCTCATTGAGGCTGGGCTATACCGTTATGCGTTTTAGTTGTCTTTAGGGCCCAACCCGACCCGGATCCGCCGGCCACCCAGGCCGGTTCCGATTCACCCATTGTCAAATAAGTCCGGCCGGACCCGGGCATCAACCAGCCCGGGTCCACCTATAGGTACATTTTTGTACACCCTCCCCTATTTTTGCCATTGTACATACTACATAGGTGAGCTACACAGGCAAAAACAAGGTACACGAATTTTTCTCTGGTATGGGATGAAGGGAAAAATTTTGACTTTAGTGTTGACAAATTAATAAATTATCATTATAAAAACACTTTGTAAATAGTCAACTTACCCCAACGAAAACTGCAGTAGCGAACATGATATCAAAACTCGAGTACGGCTATAAGTATAGCAAAAAGATGTAAAGGGCAATGTCAATAACATGCCAACAACTTGTTTCCAAGAAATAACAAAGAAACTCTCAGCAGTTCGACGAAACATTAAGTTTAACAAAATAAATAATAAAAACATAAGTTCAAAACACTAAGGAGCAAGAGGATCCTGATACAATCCCCAAAAGCCAAAATGATGCCTTAGTTCATCCTTCGGATCAATTCATTGATATAATCTTCCCTGTTGCCAGCATCTCCTCCTTCAACATAATGGTTTCTCTTCTTCTTGAGACCACCCAATGGAGCCTTGAGTTGGAATGGCCACAAGAAATTGTTGGCCTCCCTGAAATGTGGTCCCACTGTGATGATCTCATGAACCAAATCTTCAATGCAGATTATGTTGTACTTGCCAAGAGTCTGTAATGAAAAGGAATGCTAATTAGCATAAATTTACTTCACCCAAATTTGTCAAAAAAAACCATCTAGTGATATGTTTGAATAGAAGTCATTCAAGGGCTTAAGTGTACACCTTTATAAATGAAATGTTTTTAATAAAACAAACAGGTGAATGAAATGATATACATCCATATATTCTACAAAAACATCTTGAGTTATATGGAATCAGAAAAGTGTTTTATACAAGCAAGTATACATATATAGGCAAAGCCCTTCATAAGATTGCTTTGTTAACCAAGACATCCAAACAGATCCCAAAGTCAAAGAAATCGTGATTTACCTGTTCAATTACCGAGTTGTCCGTGAAGGGAATTCTTTGTTTGTTAACCTTTCCGAATCCTCTCTTGTAAATCAACTCCCTGACGCTCTTCAAGTTGGGGTACCTTTGTGAACAAGAACAAATCATTCAGAACCATGCCTAGATTAATGAACATGTGCTTCAAAAATTGAGCTAAATAAGATATATAGATATAGGTAGATCAATACCCAAAAGCGACGTATGGCTCGACCTTGTGCAACATGTTGGTTGTAGCTTTGTTAACCTTTAAAAACACACCGTTGAATATCTGTAGGTTCAAGATAAGTTGGTGAGCAACCTTTTCGGGGACAAACATTTTGAAAGAAAAGTGACAAGTATTCATCAAAGTACCTGTCTCAAACGGAGAAGCTGCAGGATCTTTTTGGTGTTGGGGTGCATGGCATTAATACTGAAATACATTACCAATACCAGAAATGTCATTTATTAGTGAAGCACGAATTACACTAATTTTATGCCATCCCATCCCCCCAGTCAGGCTTGAAGAACTATGTTTTATAGTCCCAAATAAGTCCATGGCTTCAATTTGAATAAAATGCTTATAAAGCCCGTTATGAAGTGGGTTACTAAACTAAATTCAAGCAATTTGAACTCAAGTTTGGGAATAAACAAGCGACATTTATAGCCTGCAAACGCTTACACCCATGGAGAAATACAACAAATAATTCAAGCATTACCCACGGATACGAATGATGAATAGCAGTTTAGCTTCAGGGTTCACGTAGAAACCTCCTTTCAGCCTAGCCTCGCGCTTCATCTGAACCAGCTCCTTTTGCTACATTATTACAAATTCTAATCTTAGATAAGACACATAAAAAACCAAAACCCCAGTGCCTTACACTGTCTATACATAATCACAACGATTGGAAACAAAATAAGGCAATAAAATACCTGCTTCTCGTATTCCTCAGCATACAGTTTAGCCCTTTTGAAGATTTCCTTCCTGTTTGCAGCATTCTTCTTCCGGGTAGCTTGAATTTCTTCCTTCTTGATGAGCGCCCACTCCTCTTCCCTTTTCTGCTTCTTCAATACTGACTCAGGGACGCATACTGCACTTTGCGCTTCAGCCATCTCGACCGTCTGGGTGAGAGATGAGCGGCAGTGAGATTGTAGATCGAATGACCTGGTATGCGTCGAAGAGAAAAGGTTTTAATATGAGCAGAAGTAGGGTTACTTTATTCCGATCCTGGGCATGTGAGTTTATAATTGGGCCGGATCAAACACTTTGGCCTAATAACTTTTTTGGGGGAAACTTTGGCCCAATAACTTTAAATCACTTAATTTGGCTGATTATAAATAGTAATTTAGTGTT